ATCTTCTCAACAATGATTTAAATTTCTCTCATATTTCACAAAAAGATTCATCTGCTCTTTGTCTGAAAGAAGTGATGTCGGATTTTGCTTTGATGTAGCGAAATGACGGGAAAAATCTGTTCAAAAACTTCTCTTCTACGCTACTCCAATTAGTCAATTTTTGATTAGGATGTGCTTTCAACCACTTCTTTTCCCTACCTGCCAAAGAAAAAGGAAATAATCTCAAATATGTAGATTCAAGATTTGCTGCTCTAAATCTCATGGTACCAATCAACTCATAAAAAGTAGGCAAATGAATGTAAGAGTCTTCATGATCCAATCCAGTGAATTGATGAGCACTAATCAAGCTTAAGAAAGCTGGATTCATCTGCAATGTCTGACCATCCGGTACGACAATGCTGGAAAAGTGTCTGGGACCTTGCTGCATAACATAGTTTCTGAGTGTTCTTCTAGGTGGATTTGAATCTAGATTTTGATTTTGATTTGGATTCAGATTTGCTCTATCTTCTGTCATATCTTCTATAATTGGGTCTGGTAAATTGAGTGTGCAAGAAGAGTTAACATATTCTCTTGTGGCTTGTTCTTGAGTTTTCCTTCTTCTTCTACCTCGGTTCCTCCGAGCTGTTTTTTCAATCTCCGGATTAAATTCTAACTGCTCTGAAGATACCTGTCCTCTTAAACGCATACATCAAAAGAGTAACTCAAGCAAAGATTAGCACAAGCCAAAAACTAAAACTAAAAAATAAAACAAACAGAAATAAAAATAAAATACTCAATAAGCTAAACAAAGAATTCTCAAAGAACAACGTTCCCCGGCAACGACGCTATAAATACTTGTTGAATTATTGGCAAGCGTACCAAAATTATCAATCGCAGTATAGTATTTCAATTAAATAAAATTCGATCCCACGAGGAACAGTTTCAATGAAAATTCCCAATTATGCTTACTAAGTGGATTAAAACAGATTGCATTTTGCAATAAGAATTGAATTGAAATTAAATGACAAAGAACTGTAAATTGTTGAGAAAAGATCAATTAAAGGCACTTAGGATTGGTTTCCTTCCTTACCCCTCTTTTGTAATGACTATGTCAATTAAGAACGTCAATTAACCTAACAATGTTGATATCAACCACTCAAATCATCCATGTTGATTCCTCACACATGAATTTCATAAGAAAACCTAATAAATGTTGATTCCTCACACAATTAAGAGATTTTCCAGTATTAGGTTTAGGGTGTTAAGCAATTGATACATTCATTTCATTCCTGAAAATTAACATAACAAATATTCTTACCGTGATCTAGGGTTCAAGATATATTTTCCAATCATATCCCAAACATCAAGAATAAATCATTCCAAAGTACAAAGGATAAGAATAACAACTTCAAAACATAGATTAATATCTCAAAATATCACCATGATACAAAAGAGTTCAAAGGAAGTGCACTCAATCCCAAGAGAATGAAGTTAATCACTCATGTTGGCCATTACAATGTTCCAAATGTGGAAGAAGTGAAGAATTGATGAAGATTGGACGAAACCCTAGCAATAGTTGCGCCTCTTCTCCCCAAAACCGCTTGCTTTTCTCAGAACACATCTTCTCTTTTTATAGGAAAGATTTGGGCTTTTGGGCTTCGCGTCTTTCGCTCAAGCGAAAGTTGCCTATTTTCGCTCAAGCGACAAAATGCTCGCTTGAGCGAGTGAACTCTAGAGAAGAATAACTAACATTCGCTCAAGCGAATCTTCTTGTGCTTGAGCGACTGACTTCCAGAGAAGAATAACTGATATTTGCTCAAGCGAGAGTCCATCCCGCTCGAGCGACTTTCATGCTGAAAATCTTCTTCCTTCTTCCAATTTTACTCAAATTATGTTGACAATTATGCTATTTACTCTTGTATCAATGTATTCTCGAATTCATCATATATTGGGAGAAAAATATATTAGAATTAACATAAGTTAAGTGGTTTCATAACAATTCAAGGCATAATTAAATCAACTTTTTACCACTTAACAGTGAATGAGCTAGGAAAATAATAAGAAGAAGAATTAACATACAAAAAATAATATAAATTTATTATAATATATTATTTTGATAAAATAATATTAACTACTTCAATATATTGAGCCCGTGAAGCGATGGTTAAGTGATAAGTTGAAGCTGAATGTGATATTGAAGGAACAACGAATTATAATGCATATGGGAGAAATTTATGTGATGAATGCAAGATTAGATGAAAAAATTGTAAATCATCATTTTGTTCTATTTGCTGGATGCAAAAAAAGTAAATCCACACAATAAATATTACATTTGGAACTGTGGGATTAGATCTGTGATAGAAAGTTATGCAGCGACAAAGCATATTATTATCTTTTGTTCATTTCGATCAAAACTTTGACAAATTCTAAAACGTCCTCCATTTTATTATCTCCTGCTCATTCTCATCAAAACTCTGTAACAAAAAACGCCAATAATGGAGATCTTTTGGACAAAATGATTCGACCAAATATATAAATCCCAAGCAAATAAACAAATTTGATTAAAGTATTAAACACAAATATAATGGAGAATTTAACATAACTACTCCTCATTCTTTTAACATTTACAATAACATTCCTTATAGAATTACATGCAGCAATGGTTTTTAAGAAAATCCACAGGGAGTAGTGATCAGACATAAGGTCAGGCTTGTGGCCAAGGGATTTTTGCAACAAGCTAGAGTGGATTATGGTGAAGTGTTTGCACCTGTTGCTAGGATTGAGACTATTCGACTAGTAGTCTCACTTGCTGTACATTTTCACTGGTCATTACATCAACTTGATGTTAAATCAGCTTTCCTGAATGGAAATCTTGAAGAAGAAGTGTATGTGGTTCAACCACAAGGATTTGAGAATAGAAAACATAGAGACAAGGTGTACAGGTTGAGAAAAGCTCTTTATGGGCTTAAACAAGCTCCAAGAGCCTGGAACCAGAGAATTAATAGTTTCATGAGTAGCATTGGGTTTGGAAAATGTGCCTCTGAACATGGAGTTTACGTTAAAGTCAATTACAGGGATGGCAGATCTGATAAGATGATAATATGTTTGTATGTTGATGATTTACTCATCACAGGCAACAATGAGGAGCTAATTTCGAAGTTCAAAGGTGAAATGCTAAATGAATTCGAAATGAGTGACTTAGGAAAGTTGAATTATTTCTTGGGTATTGAGTTTACTGAGTGCAAGTCTGGTTTGTTCATGCATCAGTCAAGGTATGCAAAGGAGATTCTACTGAAGCTTGAGATGCATCAAAGCAACCCAGCCAACACACCAGCATAAGTAGGCTTACAACTTGAAAAAGAGCCTGAAGAAGTTAGAGTAAACCCCACGGAGTACAGGAAAATAGTTGGAAGTTTGAGATACTTGTGTAATACAAGACCTGATCTATGTTTCAGTGTAGGATTGATCAGCAGGTACATGCAGAATCCATGCTAGTCACACCTAAATGCTGCAAAGAGGGTGCTGAGATATCTGCAGAGCACTTGTAACTATGAGATTTTGTTTGCTAATTCTGAACCTGAATCTGGATTGAAGATGATTGCATATACAGATGCAGATTGGTGCGGGGACAAATGTGATAGAAAAAGTACAGCTGGCTACATATTATTTCTGGGAAAATCACCTATATCATAGAGCTCAACCAAGGAAACAGTAGTAGCTTTGTCTTCCTGTGAATCAGAATATGTTGCAGCATGTGAAGCTAGTTGCCAAGCAGCATGGTTGAGTTCATTAATGCAAGGATTGAAGGTTGAATTGGATGAAAAAGTAAGGCTACTTATTGACAACAAGCCAGCCATCAATTTAGCACATCACCCTACTCCTCATAGGAGAAGTAAGCATATTGAGACAAAATATCATTTATAAGAGAGCAAGTGAATGAAGAGAAACTTGATTTGAAGCACTGCAGATCAGAAGTTCAATTAGCAGACATACTAACTAAGGCCTTGAAACATGTTAGATTCAAGGATTTGAGGAAAAGGATCGGTGTTGTAAATTTACTTAATGTTTTGGCTTAGGAAGGTGTATTAGAATATAAGCCAAAAAAAGTTAAACATTTTTCTGTTTCTACTGCCAATTGTCACAACTGACAGTTTGACTTTCTACTAAGCATTTTCAGTTTTGTTTTGTATGGTCTCTATATAAGGCAGAACCCATTACCTTTTACATATACGAGAATACAGTTTACGTTCTCTACTCTATTCTTCTCTATCTGTTTATATGTCTAATCCTATATGTAATTGTGTAATTTATCCTTTATGATAACGAGAGAAACATTAAATGACATCCGAATATCTGCATACAATATAATGATATACAATTATAAACATTTGGAAGATGGCTTAATGTTTAAGAGAAAGTATCATAAAAAACAATGATTTTTTTTAAGTGTAATAACCAATTAAAATGAAAATATGTACAAACAAACCAATTAAATGAGAAATATGTACAAAATAAAATACACAAAATTAATGCCACATATTTAGACAATGATTTAAAATCCTTTTTAAAAGGAAAAATTCCTTTACTTTTCAGACACATATTTAGACAATTATTTTAAATGTTTTATTATTGAAAACAAGACAGATCATTTTAAAGGAAAATCACAAAAAAAAAACTGAGAAAAATGTGTTAAGTTTAGATATAATCAAATAATGAAATTTGTGTAAATATAGAACTATGTAAGTAAAACAAAAAAACCAGCTTTATAAGAAAAAATAAAATAAAAAATCAAACATACATAGGTATGTAAAAGTTGGTAAGCCCATTGAAGACATGAAAATCGAGTTGTTATAAAACGAGAGCCCAAATCTGAGACTTAAATAATACACAAGGAGGGTATCCCAAGCCCTAAACAAGGTTCCCAGTTGAATCTTGTGTGCAAGAAAGAGCCAAGTTAGGAGTCTTGTTTGGTGGAAGGAAGGGTAAATTAGGAGGGAAGTGTAGGAAGGAGAAGCACAACAATGGAGGGTGGCAACAGCAACAACATCAACCCTGAGGACTTGGCGGTGGGATGCTTGTTGTCGATCAGGACAACGTTGGGCGACGAATTCGAAGGCCAGGTTGTCACCTTCGATCGCCCCTCCAACATCCTCGTGCTCCAGGAACCTTCCAAACCAGGCCCTCGTCGAAACATTAGGTTGCTAAAGGCTAATTACATAAAAGACTTCACCTTTCTTGGCCAGGCCGAAGACCCACTTGATCCCACCAACTGCTTCCTTGACCTCGCCGCTCTCCAAGCTAGGGAAGAAGTAGCCATCAGGTATTCTCTTGCAATTCCCCAACATTTTTCTTTTTCTACTTTTCTTTATATATTTCGTCATGAAATTCATGTGTGGCTTCAAATGATTTTGGGTTGTAGACAAGCAGAGGCTGATGCTGAGAGGATTGGTGTTGGTGTTACCGGCGAGGCGCAGAGCATCTTCGATGCTTTGTCCAAAACGTAAGTGCTGTGTGAGTGAAACATAGTGTTGAACCGAACCACTGTGGCGTGGATCGGGATTTGTAGCTTTTGCGTGTATTGTCTAGGAATTTTATCTTTGATTATGTTCTGAAGCAAATAGACTTCAGAGCATGACATTTATAGAATAAAATATTCGTAGATTGTTGCGGAAATGTGTATGATTAAAGAAATTAATATTGCATCTTGCTCCTGTCAAGTAAAGGATGGATAGATTTAATTGAGAAATAAAAATGGGTAAACTGAGAGGAAGGACGGGGGAATCCCCAATTTTAACTGAAACACTGATCTAGCAAATACATAAGATAAACATAGCCATGCTCCAAGTCGCAAAGTTGTTGATAACATGCTCTAGGGTGTAGTGGTGTGGAGTGGCCCTGGGGTGCTACAAAATTACCATAGCAATGTGTATTTAAATATTGGTTCTTTGCAGCGTTATAGTGGTGCTACAGTGAGAAATAATGGAAGTCAGTAGTGTGTTATTGTGGTGTAGTAGAGCAGAGCGGTCTACGTTGCAATGGAATTCAGAATAGCAGAGTGGTTTTTAACATTAACTTTTCCCCTGCAATAGGATCATTGTCATGATATAGGATTCACTAACCCATTTTTATCCCTAAAACAGTGTTGTTTAGGGTATTTTGTGTAAAATTGTGTTTTCTCTCTCATTTCTAATGCATTTTTTGCTTTAACAACATAATAGGATTTGAAACCTTTCTTGAACATTTGACCAAAAGTTACCTCTGTTTTGACTTCTATTCGGCCATACTTTACAGGACTAATTTTTTTCCTACTTGTGTCCCTTTCTTTCTTCTTACTTACGACTTCCCAGTTTAAATGTAGCTAATAGTCGTTTTTCTCTATTAATTACACTATCATATTTCATATTTTGACTCTATTGCCATGCCCTTGTTGCTCCTAGATTGATGGTGATTTCTGCATAAACTGTGACTTAGGACTTGTTTGATTTAATTTTGTTTATTAAATTTTAAAAACAGTTTTAGACATCAATTTGAAAAAAACGGTATTTGAAAATAAATTGAAAAAAAATAAAAACTGTTTGATAACTCTATTTTTGAAAATTATTTTGAACAAAAGAGAATGATATAAATGATTGTAAAAAGTTGTGACAAAAGTTGAAAAATAATAAAAATGAGTGGTTTAATGTAATAATTGGTAAAAAAATTTATACCTGTTAATGAAAACAGAAACACATTTTATTAGTTTTGGTATTTTAGTTTTTAAAAACAGTTTTAACAAAACAATTATCAAACAAGTTTTTTGGTTTATAAAAACTGAAGAATTGAAAACTGTTTTTAAAAACAGTAAATAAACAAGCTCTTACTATTTATCATGTGGACTTTTTTGTTTTTGACAATCTATATGTGTAGCATAAATTAGTTATTTTGCAACTTCAAGTAAAAATGGAAGATGTCATACTGCAAGTTTTTAAATTTAAATATCAAGAGTACAAAACGATGAGGTAATTAATGAAGACGTTGGACATAAAATACTAGTTGGACGACTAAAATTGAGAAAGGCATTGGAGGTTATTTGACATCCCACATTACCAACTAACCAAACAGGGAAATTTTATCATACTGCTATACATTTTTCTATATTGTAAGGTATTAAATTCTAGGTTTTTAAAGGGAGAAAAAGCAGTGTTCTTAAATAGTCGTTCTAGTGGCACTATAGCACGATTGCATATTGGAATTTCTCAAATCCATGATTGCAACACTATCTGCTATTGTGTTAATTATCATTGTTGTGTTGCAGCATGCATCCTGATCCAATTAAATTTTGAGTCAATATAATGGTAATTGATATATATCATATATTTCAACTGTTATGTGATTTTCGCTACATGGCCATTACACTATATCCGCTATATGATATAGTTGATTTTGGCTTTCGGCCATTCTCCACAATTTGCAATTGATAACATTGACAACAAACACAATAGCGAGTAGCAAATGTTAGATGGATGTGTGGCCATGCAAAACAGGACATAATACAAAAGGATTGTGTGAAAAATATTTGTGTAACACTGGTTGAGGAAAATATGACAAAGTTCAAGGTGGTTAGGAAAAAGGTCACTGGAAGCTCTATTAATGGGGAGTGAATTTCATGATTTTTAGTCCTATGAAAATGAAGGGAGGGAGAGATCAATGAAAGGCATAGAAGGAAAATGTTAAGAGAGTCTCACGATTAATGATATCTAGTAGAGTTTGGCATTTGACTAAGCTCTGTAGTGTTGTGTGATCCATACAGACCTTATCGTGTGGGATAATATTGTTAATACAGAAAACCGCTGCCATCCCATTTCCTATTATATCCTTATATAACGGTTTCAAAGCTAGCTTCTATGCACCATTATCTGCCATTGATACCTATTTTTGTGCTATAGCATTTTTGGGGTCAATTGTTATACTTTGCTATTTGAGATTTGTGGCTAATGGTCTAGTAGGAGTCATCCATGTTGTGTACCTTTTCTTTAAAAGTTAATTTTGTCAAGTACTCAAATGCTCGGTAGTTATTATCGTACAATACTATTCATGAAACTGGTGATACGAATCGTTGAACAAATTGTTTTTGTACCTGTGTTAGTAGCATGAATTGGTCTAGATTTGTTGGAATTGCAATTTGATGTTGAATTGCACTATTCTTGCAATGTGGGTCGGGAAACCATGTTCTCCATTGGCCATGACGTTGTACTTGGCTAAGCCGTAACTGCAAAAAATTGACTGTTGGAGCCACCAAATCGTACTGCAGTCAGTCAAGCAGATCACAAAATTGGATCTGGCCACTCCTTCAAGGATCATCGTGTTGCACCGGGCCACCACACTCCAGATCTATAGCTTTAGTTCTTCAGTTCACTGTCCTGCTCTCATGGCTGCACATCTTGTTACTGGGTCAGAGAAGCGAGATGACCCATCACAACCCTAGGTCTAATCAATGCAGTATTGCATTTCTTTCTTTTTTTCTTTACTTTTGATAACATTTACATCACAAATTTGTTATGGCTTGGACTGTCAGTTTTAACATTCTTGTTTTGACTGTTAATTTTAATTATGGACCCTTTTTTCGTGTAAGACTTTCTTATTTCTTTTGATCAACACTTGGGAAATAAAATAAAAATTCAAATTTAGATGAACTATAATCAAGTTTTGCATTTTAATTAAATTTAAATAGATACATTTTCTAAATAAGATATTTTAGAAACTAAAATAAAAATGCTCTTAGTTGTTGATCATGAATTTGTGCTTTTGTTTCTTTTATGCATATAAATATTATGTTTTATTATTATTGGTCATGAATCTTACTACTCATCATACAATTTGTTTCAAGATTTGTATCTTCCAATTTCACTATTCAGAAAATTTATCCTCCAATTCACAATTTGTATCCTGATACTCACATGTACCCTATAGTACCTGTACTTGGTTGGCTCACAAAATAAAGTACCCATGCTTCAGAGAGGGTGACTGTATGATTTTAAGGGGAAGACAAATACCCCTTGCCTTGTAAGGGTTTCTTATGTTTGACCTCTTTTTATATCTTACAACTCGACACTGTCATTATAGTTATGTTAGATGCTCTAAATGTTTCCATCTTTCATCACCAGAATGATTGAATATTGTGTAGGAATGTACAAAAATATGAAGGGAATGAAAGTTTTGCTTTTTTATCTGTTTGTGGGGCTAAAAAGAGAAAGTAAAATACCTGATTATTTTTTTGTATGATTATATTAGAATAGATATTCTAGAAAATTGATATACCTTGGTTTTGTAGATTCTTTCCTCTCTTGTTCCTAGGATTTAATTGTGATGTGAAACTACAGTCATTATCTATAATTTGTGGATATTGAGTATTTGAACTTTTAGTATGATTTATTACTTTGAAGGCTGTTCTCAAACCAAGTACATAATTAATACATATTGTATGTTCTTGATATGATTTTAGTCGTCCTTCCACTTTGTATCAATATTTAGTTAATTGTTTTGTGATAAGGCACATTTGAAATTGCAATGTTTATGGATACTTGGATAGCTGCTATTCTTTAGAGGAATAGTTTCCATCTAATTTTGTGCATTTTGTGGTCAGAGTTTTTAGTTGTATCCAAATTAAAAAAATTGGGGGTCACTTAATACCTCTAGTTGAACTCTGTAGGTATTCTGGATCACTTTTTGATGCTTGCCTGAGAGCATTAAAATCCCAGTCCCCACATGCCTTAAGGGTGCCACTTTGTCTTAGGATCTCCATCTTTCTTGCATTTGTATATTTTTCTCAGTAGGTTAATTTTCTTTTTAACTGATAAAATTTTTATGTACTCAGGCTTCCAGTCCGCTGGGACAAGACAGTCATAGTTGTGATGAATGAGGTGCGCGTCAGCAGTCCTTATCACCCTGAATCTGTTGTTGGAGGTACTCCTGCTGCAAATGAACGGGTGAAGAAAGTGGTAAATATCTTTCTTTTGCTATTTTTTATGGTGTGTGTAAATGTAGTAATGGCATGTCAAATATCATATAGATTGGTATAGAATTATGTGCACTAGAGTTGCTTGGCCATAGGAATTTATTGCAAGTACAAAATGAAAACTTAATCAAGAGAACCTTGTTTGCTTTTCTTCATTACATTTGATTTTTCTAAACGAAGCTCTTTTTTAGTAGTATTATTACTACCATTAATTTGAAATGACCAGTGATGAGGGATTTGGGTAGTTTGTAGGTGGTTTGTTAGAAACTGGATCAGATTTACGTAGAAAAATGAGAAAATTTCGCAGACTACAGGATGACTGCAGAACTTTGAGGGTCTGCACCTCCCAATGCCCAAAGGCCCCAATCCTCTCAAAATCCCTCTTCATATTTATTTATATACAGCTACTGGTCTAGTAACATAAACCACGCTCTGGGTCCTAATCAGTTGATGGCCCATTAACATAACCCCTTGTATTTCTTAAAGTAACATAACTGACTACTACTAATGGGGATTACCTAACAATGATCCCCCTAAACATTCACCTTGTCCTCAAGGTGAATAGCTGCTTGTTCTTGCAAACAAGATTCCATGGTGGGTTCAGATAGTTGAAGCATGATGATCAACCGACCCCATACTGCAGCTCAAAATTGTCTTCATTCCACCTGGGTCAACACAAACATGTGAATGCTCCCATGGTCCTCAGTACACTGTTTTCTGCAGTAATTTTGGCCAAATAGAGCATTGGAAGCTCTTTTTTTATGCTGAAAATGTATTGCATGTAATAGCTGATTAGACCAATCACATTTCTTTGCTGAAGTTTGCTCCTTCTCCGAAGTGGTTCTTGCTTTCCACCTTCAAATGCTCATTTTTGTTTCTGTCTTCAGGTTCTTGATTCCAAATGTTAAGCGGTTACAGTTTTCTTGGTTTTCTACCCTTGGTTTCTCTCTCCTCTTTATGTTTCTTTCTTTTATTTAAATCTTGCTCTTTTTTGTTGGATTTCTTCTCCCTCAATTCTAAATCAATTTATGATTTCCTTATTTCTTGTCCTTTAATTCTTCATCTTCTTTTGTTTTCTTTCTGACCTGTGTTGTCAGCTTCTGCACTCCTCTTCACTGGTTCTTGGCCTTTCCCTTGAACTTCATATCCACATATTTTTTCTTGCTCTACATTCCATACTTCTAGTTGAAATTTCTTGAAGACTGCCTGCTGCAAAGTCCGGCAGGTTTCATTCTGGTTGTTCTCCTTACTGGAAACCCAGCATTTGAGAGCCCCTCCTTCCAATGCCCACATAACCAACAAAAGTTTCATATCTTCACGAACTTGTTTGGCCTCAAAATACTGCTCTACCTTGATCAGCCACCAATAGGCCTCCCTTCCATCAAATTTAGGGATTAATCTTGAAGCCCTTTTCTTGACAAACTTGCCCCCACAAGTCCAAGATTGAGTATCTAATAGCAGTTTGTTGAAAGTCCCACATCACCTATCTCATGTTATTTGGTATGGTTTAAATACATGTTAGGCTACTCCACATATTGCCAATTGGTTTTATGTTGGAACCTTAACATGGTATCAGAGCCAAAGCCTAACATCTTTCCGGTTATTGTCATGGGCCAAAAGTTGTCCTTTAGTTGGGTCAAAAGCTGTGAAGCACCGACACGGCTCCCCTCATCCGTGTCGGAGTGTCGCGGACGTTTGGGACACCGACACCGCCACGACACTTCGCGGAAGCGTGTCCGACTCTTTTTTGCAGTGTCCCCTACACCAAAAACGCGTCGCGAGGCTTTGATTCATGTGGACACGGCGTGACCTAAATCCGACACGGTGTCAGACACGGCTCCGACTCGGGTACAACTTTTATAAAAAAAAATTGAATTTTTTCTATTTACTTTTTTCTCCCGCTTTTCTTCCTTCCTTCCTCTGCACGTATCCTTCCTTTCTTCCTTCCTTCCTCTGCACCTTTCCATTTCTGCACCAAAGCTTTCCTTTTTTCCTTCCAGTTTTCCTCTGCTGTGTGCTATTGTGCAGTTAATCCGAGAGCACAGACCACACAACGCTCTCTGCCCAATGAACTCCGAAATAACGAAGTAGTTGAAGAGTCACTGTTAGCAATGTTGGTAGGGAAAGAGTGGAGGTGAGAAGGGCAATGTTGGCAGGGAAACAAATGAAGAGTCAGAAGATGAAATTCCAACCCATTTACAGAGAGGGAGGAATATAGGGTTTGTGAAAGAGAAGTTCTTAGTATTTTTTGGTTAGGATATCATATGAAAATTGTAAAATCTAACAACTTTGTCTTAAGATGAATGAACAAATCTTAATTTTTAATTTATATATTTCTCATTTGAATCATATTTAAATTTTTATTCATGTCTAATATATATAAGGTGTCCCGGTGTCCTATATTTTAGAAGTTTGCCGTGTCCGCGTGTCCGTGTCGTGTCGTGTCTCAGTGTCCGTGTCGGAGTCAGTGCTTCATAGGTCAAAAGTACCATTTGCCTAGTCCGGCAGGCTTCATTGGAGGGGGTGTGTTGAAAGTCCCACATCGCCTATCTCATGTCATTTGGTATGGTTTAAATACATGTTAGGCTATTCTACATATTGCCAATTGTTGGAACCTTAACACAGTTGATAGAAGCTGGATCCGATTGATAGAGAAAAATGGGAAGATTCCCCTGATTACAGTATGATTGCAGAACAGTGCACCTCCCAATGCCCAAAGGCACCAATCCTCCCAAACGACAAGGTTTTATCCCTCTCCATCCCTCTTCTTATTTATATACAGCTACTTGTCTACTGACATAAACCCACCCTCAATGGGCCTACTCAGTGGGAGGCTCATTCACATAACTAACTACTAAAGGGGGTTACTTAACATGGGTATCAGTTCAAATCTCAATTCATGATTCACGATTGTGGTTGTGGCCACAGTTGAGGCTGAGTTTGTATTTTGTTTAGAAAAATTGCAAGAAATTGATGACAATTACAGGTGACAAGGTTTGTGATTGCAGTTGCACGCTGCAGTTTAAATTTCTCTGATTCAACTTTCAGTGATTCCTGTTTAAGGAAAATAATGCTATTTATTTCTTGGTTCACCCTAATAGTCTTTTCAAATAAACCATTTTGATTCAAAACATTTTGTTAGCTAGTACTTGGTTGATATTGACTTTTCATTTTCCTGGTTTGCAGCTTGAGTTTGAGAGGAAGAGGTTGCAACTTCGCAGTTCTGGTGGTCACTAAAGTTTCACATTTGCATCCTTTTATGGTCAGGAAAGCGCCTCCAAGGAGGAAACACGATGGGTATGTTGCTTTTAACAAACCCTATACAAGAGGGTTTTCCAAGGCATATTCCTGACTTCAGATATCTTTTGATTATCTGTTGTCTTCAGCTCTCAAGTTCTGTCTTGCTTATGGAGTTCATTTGAGGTACTTCCTCCGGATTCTTCTTAAGAGTGAATGCTGAAGCGTATGATGATGTATGGTGTGTTACAATTGGAACCCAAACAGGTGACTGGGTTTATATAATTTGTCAGTTTGCTATTGGGAAGTTTAACCAATTACAATGGGCTAACATGAACTCAAAAAATGACTCTAATTTGTTCTTTATTTAATAATGCAAATGCTTTGGATAAATCAAGCTAGCATTCGTACCTAAAGCTTTCTAGTTTTGTTCATTTATTATTTTAAAAAATTTGTTGTATAATTTATTTATTTTTATTTGGCTGTTCCCACTATGATAAGGTTTGATTGTTGTTGTTGTTTTTTGAATTTTAATCTTCTCGGAGTAGATCTTTCACAATATTTGATTGCGTTTTGGGGTCAAAGGGGGAAAACATTAAGAGACAAGGTTTGGGAAGTATTTTGTTCTGTTTTGGGGGGACAGGGTATGGGTAGCATGCTTTCAAATATCTGTTGAGATGGTCCTCAAATAGAAATTAATCAAATAACAAATACATTCCATTTCTTGACTTGATGTTTTGCACCATTCTTTGTCTTGTTCCGAATTTTTCCTGTGTCTAGATTTTGGAGGCTCCACTCTTCGTTTTGTACATCATGTCCTTACCATCTTTGACTTGTTGTAACCCTGAATTTAAGTCTGATTTGGAGTCTAAATCATCATTACCTTTTGTGCCTTGAAGGTTCTTCTTTGTTCTGGTTGTGTCTCTACTTTGTTCTTTGTTATAGATTCTAGTTGAAAATGGTTAGTAATTTGGAGTTAATTCGTTGATGGGTCTGTCATGTTTTATATTATTAATTTTGAAAATAATTATTTTTTATTTTTCTTTTACAATATTATTATAATTTTTTTTTTCAGTTTTCTTTATGTATAATTGGTTGCTTATTTTGTTTATTATGTTCTCTTTTATTTTTGACATGTATCACAATCTTTCATATTTTTTTCTTTTTATTTTTTTCTCTCTTCTATTTTTTCTCACAATAATCTTTTTTTCTCCTTGTAATATCAAAGTAACTTTTTCGCGTATTTTTCTCTCACATGTTTATCAGTAGCATAATATAAATAATTATTTTTTATTTAAGATAGGATAATATAATTTTGTAAATGATGACATCAAATATAGTTAGAAAAAAATACATGAAAAAGATCAAATGATGTCATGTCAATAAGAGAAGATGTAATATATATATTAAAAAAAGAGCAAAATGTTTTTTTTTTGTCATTAAAGTGTTCCACTCCCGATTTGGATAGGCATATAAATATTCTAAATTTGTAAACATGAGTTTCAATATATCTTTGTTTGAATTTGCACCTTGAAGATGTATATTTTATTTTCAACTTATTATAACATTTGGAAAAAGTAATAAAGATAATTTTTTAAAAGGTTTATTTGAAGAATTAATTGTTTTAGCTACAGATGTGTTTTTCCTTTAAAAATTACAAGCAAACCCAAGTTGGACATTTGGGAATTTGAAATCTTTGTTTTCTTTAGTAGGTTACCAACGCCGCGTTCTAATTCAAATCATAACAGAAATGAAGAGTAATCATTATTCCAAGTTCAAACAGAAGTGTCTATTTTCTAAACAATGTATAACCGAAAGGAACATAAAGTGCCTTTCTCGAGTAAAAAGTTGAAAATTTATAAAATAATTAATTAAAATTAGGTCATTTTAAAGTTGATCTAAAAGTAAGGATTCAAAATTCTTGGTATTATTTTGCATCTCAATCTAATTTTTTTTTCCTATTCTTTCCGTGATTCAGTTCAATTTTATTAAGGGTGAGATGCCGTCATCATTTTTTAATTAATGTCAGTGAAAATTTCTTTTTAGTTAAAATCAATCGTGGTTATTTTTAAATTGTATTTGTCAGTGTTACTTATTGGTTAACGTTACAGAATTTTTTCTTTGATAATCAATGGTAATTTGTTAATGGTAAATATTTCTTATTTACGTCAACTGAAATATTTTTAGTTGATGTTAGCCAAATATTTTTTTATTGATATTAATGAGATTATATTTCTGAAATAAGTCAAAGTTCCTTAATCCACGTTAATAGTAAATGAAATCTTGATGGACTATAACCAAAAAATTACCTGAGAAACATCATTAACTAATGTTTTTGAATTATTAGAATTAAAATAATCTTTTATATTTTATAATAATTGAAATAATATATTTAGATAATAAAAATAAAATTTAATATATTTAAAATTTCTTATCAAATCAAAACATTTGAAAATTTAAATAATTGAAAATAAGAATAATTCCAATTAAAATTATTTAATTAAAATAAATGTGATAATTGTGTGATTATATGTGCTATTGCAAAATTGACTTTGAATTAAATAATTTGAAAAATAAATTTAGCTCAAACTGATTTTGAGACAATTTTACTTCAAAAATAAAAACAAATTTGCCGTAAAACTAGTGTAAATTATTTGGAAAAAAAAAACTACTTCCCAAATTTAATGACAAAATCAATTTTGTTGAACAATTTTCAAGTTTTGTGTAAAAAAAATAAATTTGCATATATTTTTTTTATTTTAAATAAAATTATTTAAAAATTATTCTTTAAAATATATTTTAATATTTTATATCAGAAAATATAATTTAAATAAATTAAATTATAAAATATTAATATAAATAAAATTATTTAATACTTTTTATTAATAATTTTACTTTTAAAAAAATGAAATAAAAATGATTTGCGGACAATGAATATGTCCTTGTTAAAAAAATAAGTAATTAAAATACTTATATATTTTTATTTTGTGAATATCGATTTAACTTGTGCTGATTGAATTTTATCCATGAATACCCGCAATCAAATAAAGTTGAATGTGATGAGTTAAAAGGAAGTCAATGAAAGATTTATTTAATCTTTTTGGTAAACGATAATTTTGATAGATAATAAGATTTTGTAAAATTATTTTATTATTAAAATAAAATTTTAAAAATTAATTCGATGATAAATTATATACTAATTTTGATCACCACACATATTCTAGATTTCCTTGTCCATGTAACACATTTATTATTGTTAATCTTTACATGCGAATTGGTATAATATCAGCGTTCTCTATTAATTACTGTATCGTTTAAGAGTTGAATTTAAAAATAATTTGTATATACTTTTTTTTTTAATTCATCGAAACAATTCTTAAAAACAAAACCGTAAAAACTAGTCTACCCTCAAAATGAGCCATTTAAATATTTTCTGCGTAAGATATTTCATATTCTTTTTAATAATAATAATAAAAAAAAAGTTGTAACTTACAATAAGGATAAAGAATGATTCCAAAGTGCAAACACTCAAATATTTGCAGTGAAAGAAAATTTTGTAAAATTCAAGGGTGGCTGAGGATGAATCCATTCCATGTTTCTTGATGCAAATTAGGAAGCATATATGTTTCGACCCACGTGGTTCCGACCATGGAAAACGATTGACTTTAATCGCATCAATAAATGCATCATTCTGGTGTATATGTTTCGTTATTCTACGTACAAATTGTCTGGTCGAACAAAATATAGATGTAAGAAAGAAGTATCCTGTTACTTCATGTTAAAGGAAAGGATAACAAAAACAATTGAACTGTATTGTCTTTAAATTCAACCCATATTGATGCTGTCGTAATTAAAGAACGGTTTATTAATTATACAAATATATTCACACACAAAAGTCATTACAAAATCCTCAAATGATTGGTGAAAGTTGCTCTGATATGATGAGAAGAGAAATAGAGGGGAGAACTAGATCGTTGACTCTGAATGAATTTAGGAAGTATTACCTTCCTTCTTAAGCAGATCCTAAAATAAAATTACTTAAATACTCCAAATCTCATTAAAATCTGTATTTAGTATTCTCTCAATTACTAAAAAGTCTTTATGTTATATCGGAGTTTTACTGAAATACGTTTTAAGGATTAAGTGATGAATATTCAATTCTTCAAAAGTTATGGACACTCTTTAAATTTTGCCAAAAAAATTATGTACAGTGAAAGTAAGAGTCTATTACTAATAATTTAATTACTTTAAGACCACATAAAAGAGGATAATTGTTGGGGTTTGGGGTTGGAATTGGTGGTTTGTTAGATTAATATTACATGACAATTGGCATTGACACAGGAACCAATAGCCAAGTTTATTTCCACGGTGCTTTGGCCATACATAGAGACATCCACAGTTCTGATTTTGGTGGAGTGAGAACTTCGCACTATCATAGAAAATGGGGTTTTAAGATTGTAGTGGACTAGTCCAAGAGAGAAAGCTCAGTGTTCAAGGGTCATGCAAAACGGTAAGGCAAATAGACAGAACTGAAAAAGAGACCAATGTAAAGGTTTGACAATACTTAAAAAAAGGGACTAAACGATCACACAGAACCTACCTGCAACCATATAACAAAATCCTTGTTTTATTCATTGTTTTGGGTCAAACTAAAAGTCACAGTAAACAACCAAGGTACTAGTTTCAATTTTCAGGCTGAATCAAGGTAAAAAAAATAAGTGCTTTCAATAATTTCTGTCAACAGTACTCAATACAGGGAAAAGGTTAAAAATGGAAAACTTTATGCTGTGTGTTAAACTGTTTAACTGAAATTGGGGTGCAAGGGAGGGTTCTTAGTAGTTCATGTTATTGTCAGCTTTCATTGTTTCTGATTATGTAGCCTTTGTTAACAAATATTGGTAATAGTAAAATACTAAACTTGAAGTAAAAAAAGGTGAAGGGCAAGATGCTTTTATGCAGACTTTATCTTTACGTGTTGAATAAAAACTAAAAGGAAAAGCAATGTTGTTAACAGCATTAAATATTGGATTACAATATTGTAAAGCAATATGGAACTCAGAGATTCTTTTGTATTTTGGGTTTCTTTCTTGCTTTAGGAGGAGCTGGCTCCCTCCTTTTCCTTTTCTTCCACACCTTCACACTAGCTTTTCATGTTTTCTTGGTCTCCATGTGGGTCTTGGGCTAAGAAACCTTCCAACATTAGCTGCATTGCATTACGTTGCTGACAAGTTGTCTCCCTTGGACTTGTTCTGTTCATTTCCTTGTGTGAAGCTCCCAAAAGGGAAGAAAGTATTCATTTTTCTTTGAGGGTTGCCTTGAGTTTCTTCTCATTGCCACTGTTTTCATCATTTCCACAATTTTCATTGGGAAACGTACCCCACTGTGATAGTTTCTTCCAACCGGTTTTTGTTGTTTGTGTCAGTGTTGCACAACATAACTTCGTCTTCTGGGGTTGAGTTGAGAAGTTGATGTAGAAGTTTCGGTTTTTGTTCTATTGGGTTCTGAGAAGTTTTTGAGTTTGGTTGCTGTAGTGCATTGAAGTTTATTACGTGCATTGTGGTAGGATTAGAAGAATGGCAGGAGGAGGAGCTGCACCACAACCCAAGCAGGATGAGCATCAACCACATCCAGTGAAAGATCAACTACCACATGTATCTTTCTGCATTACAAGTCCTCCTCCCTGGCGTAAGTTCACTGCTTCATTGGAGCCATTTTTTTTTTCTACTTTTTCGCTCTTTTTTGGCACCTAACCACTCTGGTGTGGAATTGGCTTTACATTTCTGGTTTTCATTACATTCATATTCTCATGAGTGTACATTCAAGTTCAACATGTTGACTGAGTTTTAGAATTTGTGTGTTAATGAAGCGGAGGCAATCCTACTTGGTTTCCAACATTACCTGGTGATGCTAGGCACAACTGTTCTGATTCCCAGCTCCCTTGTTCCTCAGATGGGAGGAGGAAATGTAAGAACCTGTTTGATTCTCTTCTCACTTTTTACCTTCAAAAACTGTTTTGTAAAACCATTCTACATTGCTGCTCACTAATCAATTTCTAGTCCAAAATTTCCCATTAAGTTTTGAAAATTCTTTCCAAAACAAATGTTTCTACAATCAAAAAGCAAAAACCACTGGGAGATATTTTCTCATATTCTTCCTCTCTCTCTCTCTCTCTCTCAACTCCACACTCTGCTCTATTCATTGCACCAATTTTTTCCATATTGTCTGAGCAATACTCTTTATATTCATTTTGACTACACAAATTAAACACTAAGTTTCAAAGAAGAGACAGATAGAGGAACTTTTTCTCAAAAAAAAAAAACGATGTTTTTTTTTATTATTATTATTAGCTCATAAATCTTATAGAGTTGCAATTTTGCTTCCATAGGAAGAGAAAGCAAAAGTGATCCAGACTCTACTGTTTGTGGCTGGCATAAACACTTTTTTCCAATCATTCTTTGGGACTCGTTTGCCTGCAGTTATTGGGGGATCCTACACCATTGTGCCAACAACCATTTCAATCATTCTGGCAGGTCGCTACAGTGACATTGTGAATCCTCTGGAGGTTGGATGGTTCATCACAAACCTCGTTGAGCTTTTTCTGCTTTTGTTATTTCATCATCTTTGTTTACCTGCATTGCAACAAACATGCAGAAATTTGAGAGGATAATGCGCGGAACACAGGGTGCCCTTATTGTTGCCTCAACCCTACAGATTGTCCTTGGTTTCAGTGGCCTTTGGCGCAATGTAGTGAGGTTCTTGAACCTGCCCTGTCTAAAATAGTTAAACTTCGTAGTACTTCTTCTCACACTTTTCTTTCACTTGGAGTATGCATGCAATTCGTTTACTTTCAGACGTTAACAGATGGTTTTGATTTAAATTTTTCGGAAATATCTACTTATTATACACTATTCTCCACTCCTCACTTTTGTCAACTAGTAACAACCTTTTTTTTCTTTTTTCATTCAAAAGTATCATAGCTGAGCTCATTTGCTGTTATACTGATTGATACAAGTTTATCCATTCTGAATGTTATCGATTTGTCTTAGCCTCTTGAAATCATATTCATGAATAACTTTCTGTATTTATTTTAGGCTCTTAAGTCCTCTCTCTGCTGTTCCCTTGGTTGCTCTGTCAGGCTTTGGGCTGTACGAACTGGGTTTTCCTGTGGTATACATACTTGCAAAAAAGACTAGTTCTTGTTTCCTTTATATATTTTAAAAATTATAGTGTTTGATTCCCACTATGTTGATTGTGTCTTTTGAATCCAGCTTGCAAAATGTGTAGAGATTGGCCTGCCAGAAATCATCATTCTAGTAGTTTTTTCTCAGGTGATTAATAAATTTATATTTTCTTGAAGCTAATATCTTTTACTGTTAATTACAGCATTACACACATTTTTCAAAATTACCCTGTATACCTAACACACACTTTGCATTAAACAGTGTTAACTTTTTCCTTTTTCCCTTTCTTCACTAATTTGACATGTTTTTTGCAGTACATTCCTCATATGATGAAAGGAGAAAAGCCTATCTTTGATCGCTTTGCAGTTATATTCTCAGTGGCAATTGTGTGGATTTATGCTCATCTTCTTACAGTTGGTGGAGCTTACAGAAATTCAGCTCCTAAAACTCAAATTACTTGCAGAACTGATCGTGCTGGAATTATAGGGGGTGCTCCTTGGTATCCTTCTTTTGATTTTTCCAATAATAATGTACATGGCTAACTACTAGTTTAAAATATCTTAAATGATAACGAATAATGGGGTTTCCATTTGTCTGCAGGATAAGTATCCCATACCCTTTTCAATGGGGAGCTCCTACATTTGATGCTGGAGAAGCTTTTGCCATGATGGCTGCTTCATTTGTTGCTCTAGTAGAGGTTAGTTTATTTTTATACTTCCATATGCATAGTATTTGCAATGTCCCTTCTCTTTTCTTTTTTGTTTCATACTGATTTTGTTGTTTATGTCTTTCATAAAATTTACTTATTCAACAGTCAACTGGTGCCTTCATTGCTGTGTCAAGGTACGCAAGTGCAACACCAATTCCACCTTCAGTTCTTAGTCGTGGTGTTGGTTGGCAGGTAAACAGATACTAAGAATTAGTATTATTTTTTTCTTCCTACTAAGTTTTTTGGTCTTAACTTTACTAAATTCTTTTAAATTTTCGTTGTTCTAATTTTTTATGCTAGCTAATTATGGTTATTTGTGATGCATCAGGGAGTGGGAATTTTGTTGTCTGGAATCTTTGGCACAGGGAATGGATCATCAGTTTCTGTGTAAGATGCTAATCCAATAGGTCCATGTTATTTAACAGATTTAATATTTTCTTAGTGTAAATTGTATAACATCATTGGCTTTTAATTTCCCAGAGAGAATGCAGGACTGTTAGCTTTGACACGTGTAGGCAGTCGAAGAGTTGTTCAAATATCAGCTGGATTCATGATCTTCTTCTCAATTCTTGGTATTTTCTTAGCTCGAAATTCTTCTGATGTGATTTGTTTCCTTTTGAACTTGAATTTGAGCCTAATTATTTGTATTAAATTCTTATGAACTGTTGTTTGTAGGAAAATTTGGAGCTGTTTTTGCTTCAATTCCAGCTCCAATAGTTGCAGCTTTATATTGTCTTTTCTTTGCCTATGTAGGTGCGTATTAAGATCAACTAAAAGAAGCTGGACTACTATCATATATAAATTGATTTAGTTTGATTTGTTCACTCTCTTTTTTCTTTGTTCCCACAACACAGGCTCAGCAGGTCTAGGTTTCCTTCAATTCTGCAATTTAAACAGCTTTAGAACTAAATTCATCTTAGGCTTCTCCATTTTCATGGGCTTCTCCATACCACAATACTTCAATGAGTACACAGCATTCAAAGGCTACGGTCCTGTACACACGAGAGCAAGATGGGTATGAAGCTTTCATGCAATGCAATATCCAAGTTTTATTCACCCTCTTTTGTTAAGTATAAAACTAATGATGTGGTTTAACTTTGATAGTTCAATGACATGATCAATGTGCCATTTGCATCTGAGGCATTTGTTGCTGGTACCTTGGCACTTATCTTGGACGTTACATTGCGAAAGAAGGACAACCAAACCCGAAAGGACAGAGGCATGCACTGGTGGGACAGATTCCGTTCGTTCAAGACAGATACCAGGAGTGAAGAGTTCTATTCACTACCTTTCAATCTGAACAAGTTTTTCCCTTCTGTGTGATTGGATTGGACCATGCTTTCAGAAAACATCAAATGAAAAAAGCATTGTTCTCTTTGTTTTAGCTATAAATTAATGTACCAATCTACCTTCTGATTATAAGTTAGCTTTATATTTATTCAATTTGTTTCCCTAACATTTAGATTGGAGTTTTTTTAGACCCATATATTCAAGGTCAAATACAAACAACAATACGTCTATAAACAAAAGCTTAGGAAGAAAACAAAAACAATATAGGAAATTAGTGGAGTACATTTATCAGTTTATCTTAAACTTCAAATCATTAGTCCTATTATAATGCTCATAATCTACACATAATACATTCACTAAGGTTTATAAATAATATTTAATTATAATATAACTTATATTTTTATAAAATAAAAGCTAATAAAAATCTATGAATGTAAGTATTTAAAGATTTTAAAATAGTAATAATAGTCTATAAAACAAAAATACTATAAAATAAATATATTATGTTCACAATAAAAAAAATGTATTTCTTTTTTAAAATAAAACTATAAAAAGAGAAATAAAATATTTATCTAAAACAAATTTAGAATACAAATTATAAAAGAAAAAAAAAATAATAATAATAATAATAATAATAATAATAATACAATTATATTATTTAATTTAAATATGTTTATCTTAATATTTTAATTATTATTATTATTATATACTTTAACAGTTACACAAAGTTGAGGGAACAAGACCCTAAGTAGAGGGTGGTAATGTCAACCAGTCCTTCTAATTTTAGTTGGTTTCACATTTGGTTTGCAGAAACATTCCATATGGAATTAGTCCATTTAAGAGTTAGTTTCTGAATAGATTCATATAAATTAAAAAAAAAAAAAAACTTTTAATAGATACCATGAATTTCTAAATGCATTCAATTTATAATGTATTATATGTCAATCATTTATATTTTCATATTTTGCTTATAAACATCTCTTGTTACATTAATAAATACATGACTAAATGAACTATGAAATCATAATTAAATACATAAATAATGTGATAAAATAGATATTAATTCATAAGATCTTAATTAAACGTGTTATGCAACTAAACTTGCACCCCCGAATCCTTGGTGTGTTGTGTGCATGTTGCATGTTATGTTATGTAGAGAGTGGGATGTGACACTCACTATGAGTTTTCCTTGATGACCTTGTTACTCCACTCATCTGAACCAACCGTATGGTTGAATTTAATTTCTTCCAACAAATTAAACAAAAAAATTAATAATCTAATATTATTTTTATTTTAAAATAATCATATTTTGTGTTTTTATATTAGATTAACAAATTAATTTTTATTCAATTAAAAATAATAAAAAATTATTAATATATAAATTAAACTTAAAATATTTTTTTTAAATTTAAATTATATTAATTAAATTGATTTTTATTTTTATTATAATAATTTAATATATAAATTATTAAAAAATAAATATATTTCCTTTTTATAATAAAAAATTGTTTTTTATTATCATTATTTATTTTTTTATTAAACTTGAAATAAAATTAAATAGATATATTATTAAATTATTTTATAATATATATAATATTATTTTTATTTTTAAAAAAATTATTTTTAAAACCAACTAGTACACGTATTTATAATTAGTTTGGTCTACGTAGATGTTCAGTAAAATAAATTTAATTTAATTTAATTTATCTCACAAAATTTCTTAATTTAACTTAATTTATTTTTATCAAACTAAATCTATTTTCACTTTTTATATTTAAATTTAATTTTTCATAATTGTTTTTTTCAATATTTATTTAAGATGTTAACATTTATTATTATTATTACTATTATTATTTAAATAAACTAAATATATGAAAATATATAGAATTTATATATCTTAAAAGGATAAATATGTTTTTTTATCTTTTATATTTTTAAACTTATTTTTAATCTTTATAATTTTAAATTATTTAATTCAATCTTAAAATTTATAAAATATTTTATTTTAGTCATTTTTATATTTAAATTTAAATTTAATATTTACTGATAATTTTGAACCATTATAAAATTTATATGGTAATTAAATTAATAAAATTTATGAATTTATTTTATTTTTAAATTTAATATTTAGTAACACCTTTGATTGTAACAGAATTTATAAAATAATTATTTTTTAATAATTAAATATTTTTTAAAATATAGAAATTAAATTTAAATTTAAAAAATTACAAAAACTAAAAAAAGAAATCACCTTGTAAAATAATATCGTTTGAGAGTATATATTATTACAATAATTTTAACCATAAAACTATTCTTAATAAAATGTGAAACTGATGAATGATATATTTGTCTTATCTTATTTTTTTTTAAATGTTTAATATCTGAGGCATGAAAATATATTTATTAATACTTTATTATTATATAGTTGGCAATGTTCAATACTAATAAAAATTATAATTGTTTTGTGATGTTCAAAAGTTGGGCCTTACATGGGAGCCCAAGACCAATCAGTGGACAAGAGAAGAGAACTAAACTCAAAACCAGGTTTTCCTCTTACAACCCCGGGTGGTTCCTTCTTTCTCTGGGTGTGGCCGTTGTTCGCTCGCAGTGACTGAGGAAGAGATTAGAGAAGCGAAATAGAAGAGAAATTAAGAGAAGAAGGAAGGTTTGGATTGCAGCGATGGCGCATCAAGGGGAACCGACGAAGCTGCGGTGGGGCGAGCTGGATGAGGACGACGGCGAGGATCTGGACTTCCTCCTGCCGCCGCGGCAGGTTATAGGGCCCGACGACAACGGAATAAAGAAGGTGATCGAGTACAAGTTTGACGAGGATGGTAACAAGGTTAAGATCACCACCACCATGCGCACCCGCAAGCTCGCCAACGCACGTCTCAGCAAACGCGCCGTCGAGCGACGCTCCTGGCCCAAGTTCGGCGACGCCGTCCACGAAGACGTTGGCAGCCGCCTCACCATGGTGTCCACTGAAGAGATCCTCCTCGAACGCCCCAAGCCTCTTGGTAATATCTCGCTGCGGAATCTAACTTATGTCATTTTTACTACATTTTCTCGGATCCCTTTCTTAATTGCTCTGTGATAATGTCTATGTTCAATGTTAATTACCTATGCTATTGGAGGAAATACGTGAACTGCAATTACAGTAAGTCACTTCTTTCTGTTCATGATTCCGGACAACCTTTAGAATTAGAAATGCACCATGATATGGTTCTATTTGTTGCGTTTTTTTGGACTTTCAATTTGATTTTCTGACAGTGACATTTGTACACTTTATTTTGGAGGGGTTGGTTAGATTCTATTCCTATTTCCAAAAATTGGTTTTAGTTTTCAAATGTAATAAACAACATTGTTCAGAGCTGAATGTTGAATTGTGGAAGAGGCTGAACATCATGCAAACTAAATAAGAAAAGAAAATATCTTTCAGTTGCTTCTGTTTTTTGGTTTTAAAACACTAGTCTTAAACAATTTTCAGAATCCAGTAGATTTTGGATGAGATGAGAAATTGATTGCCGAAAACCGTAAAATTGTTTTAGGAAATTAGTTTCTAAAACAAACAAAAAAATTGAGAAAGGAATAAAAAGGCTGTAAATTACTGGAATTTTTAAATTACCTCTGGTTGTGCATCAGATTGAAGACGTGAACTTGCGGTCAGTGTGTGTAGTATAGTTGTCTAGATATCTTTTAAACAATTGTAGGATTGTTATAGTGGAGAATAATAGGATTGATCTGTCATTAGTATGTAATGGCTTTGTATTTCTGTGATTGTTAACAGGCTCCAAAACAGAGGAACCGAAAACTGCTGGAGACCCGTTGGCTCAATTTCAGAAAGGTGCTGTTCTTATGGTCTGTAGGACTTGTGGGAAGAAGGGTGATCACTGGACCTCAAGGTGTCCATACAAGGATCTTGCTCCACCATCTGAGGGATTCGTGGATAAGCCTGCGGCATCAGATGCAGCAGCAGCAACAGCTGGTGCAACCAAGGGAGCCTATGTGCCTCCTGGTATGAGGGCAGGTGCGGAGAGGACTGGTGGATCAGATATGCGGCGCAGGAATGATGAGAATTCTGTAAGGGTGACCAACCTCTCAGAGGACACAAGAGAGCCCGATTTGCTGGAGTTGTTCCGTCCTTTCGGTCCAGTAAGCAGAGTCTATGTTGCCATTGATCAGAAGACTGCCATGAGCAGGGGCTTTGGGTTTGTTAACTTTGTCAACAGGGAAGATGCACAAAGAGCTATCAGCAAGCTCAATGGATATGGTTATGACAATCTCATACTTAGAGTTGAATGGGCAACCCCAAGGGCAAACTAAATGTTTTGTGCTTTTGTCCCTTTCTTATGAACCGCGTTTTGAAGGTCTACCTATTTTTGTAGTCTAAGTGTACTTGTTTCCTTTGAGATGATTAATTACTTATAAGTATACATTCATTCAAGATCTTAAGTTGTTATTGATAATCAGGTATCATCATACCCTTCTACACTTATAAAGTAGCTCATTTTAAAAGTGAAAATGGTTGATCTTTCTTAGCTTATGGAGCTATGGTATATCATTTTTTCTTCCTACGTATGTTTTCTTTTGTGTCGTTTGTTTCTTTATATTCCGAATAAATTAAGATTTCCTTTTATTTGTATACTAGTTTATTCTACTTCTCTTTGTTTTACACGCCTCCTAGTAAGACATAATTCCTCATCAGCAAATTGAACAAATCCACGCCCTTCACCCATTGAAAAATTCTTGAGACAACCTCACCAAATTGCAAAAATGGATGTCGTACCGATCACTGATGTCAGAATCAAGCCCTCCAATCCAACGAACGTATAGAGCAGAGTTCAGGTACAAGTATAAGATGAAAGTAGTTCGATATATAACCCTTTTAAAATCTTAAAAAGCTGTTTTTATTTATTGTATATTTTACACATTTCTTTTAACTTCGTGAATTTTAGAAGGTCAATTGTTATTTCCGAGTACTTATCCTTTCTTTTCGAAGTATACAATGATATAAAATATATAAATTGTTGGTCATTATGATTCACTTTCTTTATTTTTTATATTTTTTTACATAAAATGTTTTCTCTCTTCTTTGCATGTATTATATAATGTATTTAAAATTGGACCAACCAGTAAAGATATGAGTTCAGTTAATGTTTAAGTAAATTTAATAAAATAATATTTTTATAATATAATAAGTATATAATAAATTTATTAGTAATAACGTTTTTTTATAAAAAAAAAGAAAATAATAAATACTTTTGTCATTCTCATAGTAATTTATTTAAAGTTGATGTAATTAATATAAAATAAAAAATAAGAAAAAAATTTAAAATATGTTATATCTTTTATAAAAAAAATATTATTCTTTAATTTTATTTTATTTTTAACAAAATCAATTCAACCTAAAATCTTAACAATTTTTTTATTTTGTCTTCCTTTAGTTAAAATTCAATTATTTAAAAATAATTGACCAATTTCTGTACCGTTCCTCTTAGACTAGTTGAACCGGGTTAAACTTGATTTTCAAAATAATAATATTATACATTATTTTTTCATTTTATCACATTTTTTCTCTTCTTTTACAAATAAATAATATCATAATAATTTTTTTCTTTATAATAATATAAATACTGTTATTTTATTGACAATGATATCAAAAATAATTATAAAAAAGAAATCCCCATCATATATAGTTATAAATGTAGGAAAAGTCAAGAGGACATGAGGTAGGATCCACACAAAAAATAGTTCTTTTAAATTTTATTAAAAATATAATATCCTCCCCTAAAAAAATTGTATATATTAGGGGATTGACAGGGGATAATGGTTATATATATATTAAAAAAAATATTATGGGTCCTTAAATAAATTAATATACTAACTACCTCCCGTATGATAAAAAAAGTGATAACAATTCAAAATAGTTATAAAAGGGAGAATCTCCTTTATTTATGATCTATAATATAAATAAAAGGAATTTTCTTTTTTACACTGATTTTATAACGTAGTAAAGAAAAAAAATTGTCATAAGAGAAAAATATATATCAATTTGTATGTATATTTTATTTAGGGTTTATTTGGTATTAAAGAAAGAAAGTGTAAGAGAAAAAAAAAGAGAGAAATAAAATAGAATGAAAAGTATTAAAGTAATCATTTTAAAAATAATAAATAATTAAATTAAAATTATATATTTATTCAATTATAAAATTACTCTTATAATTATTAATTAATTTTTTAATAATAAAATGACTTTTTAAAGTAATACCTTTGAATTATATATTTTTTTTAATAATATATATTTTGATATATAATTATAATATTTTATTATAAAATTATTTAAAATTAAATTAATAAAATAATATTATATTACAAACAAATAATAAATATTATCTCGCGGAAGAAAGGGATCTTTCACTTCCAGTTTTTTTTTTTTGGAAGTTACCATTTGATTTTTCAAAGAGCTTCTCAGTCCCACGATGAGCAAAAAAAATGTTCTTAAAACATCGAGATTCTCCTGCAGGACTAATCTCCACATTCCAACTTCTACTTTAGGTGGACTATTGATCTTGAAATGGTTGATGAGATCGAGCTCCTGAATTCAAGACGTGGCCAGTGTGCATGCAAAAGACACTCAGATATTCAAGTCACTAATCGATAATATTGGTGGTATTGTGTTTCTACATATTGTTGGTAAAATTTAGGTCATATGTATATATATGATACATAATTTAAACGTGTTAGGGCCATTATTTATTATGCTAAATAATAAAGTAATTTGACTAAATTAAAGTTTTTGCTAGAAGCATATGTCATGAAAATAAAATTGTGTAGAGACCATTGAACAATATCTAATTTGATGAGGGGCCAAATTAGAAATACTAAAACTTAAGTAATTAACCTAATTCTGGTTATCTAAAGGGTCATGGTCCCCTTCTGGAAGCACACACACAAAACGTAAATATCAGTATCGTTCCTTTCTTTTTATCCCCATCAAGAGAGAAATACAGGTGCTCTTCAAGTGGAAAACCATAAGATCAATATAGTGCTCTACAAAGACATCATCATTATGACTAATTCAGGTACGCATTCGCATTCAGTTTACAACATGTTTATCAGTATGAGATTATGTTTATGTTTGATCGTTAGAATCAAAATTAGGATTATTATTATTATTAATTTTCCAACAATTGGTATCAGAGCTACCCATAATTGATTCATGTCTGTTTATTTTATAGAACCCTTATTATGAAAATTAGGATTAATTTTGTTTTAAACAATTCAAATTACCCAATTTTATGAACCCTAAGTGGAGAATAATCTCTAATTTTCGTGAACCCTAAAATTTAAATTTGGGGGTAACATCCCCAATCTGATTCTGCTTGCTGATGGAACCGTGGAGGAAGCTATGGATTCTTCTTCTTCTTCTTCGTTTTTCCCTTTTGTTTCAGTTTAAGTTTCAAGTTTTACTAAGAAAGAAATAGTGTTTCAAATTTCAATCTTTCTTGTATTGGGTTCTTTATTCTTTTTTGAATATTTTGTTTTATTTAATTTTATGAGTTTGCAATTGGGGGTGGTGTTTGTGGAGTTCCCACCACATAAAATCTTAGGTAAATGGTGAATGTTTCCACAGGTGTGACTGTTCTTATTTTATTGCCTTTAGGAAAATTTGATGTTAAATTCCCCTGTTTAGGGTTTGAGTGATTACTGTTTAATCCTTTTTTAGGATTTAGAGCAGTATGCTAAAGAGACTCAGAACTATCTATGTTTCATCCCTAGTGTGATTTTAGGGAGATGTTCATCCTTTATGTATTGGTGGAAAATGAGGCCTTTTTTCATCCTTTGATTTGTTCAAATGAGGTGTTTATCCCTAATGAGATTCTAGGGAGGTGTTCATCCTTAGTAAAATTCTAATGAGGTGATTCTCTTTTGAATTAGTTTACAAATATTAAATATTTGGTTTTGTTATATAAATAAAATATTCAATTTTTGGTAGTTTAATATTTTTTGTGAGCAAATTGAGTCAAGAAGTCACCAAAGTAACTTCTCTTGAATTGGGAAAAATATTGAATGTTAGTGTTTGTGTATATTTATGCGAGTATTAGTCGGTCCAAAGGAAGATTAATATTTGGCCGAATTGCATACACACTTGTAATGACAAACATGTGATAATTATAAGGATTTGCTTTGTCGATGATAAATCAATCCAAAGACTGGTTTGTTGTTGGACGTGCTTTATTATCAATGTTTGATTATTACAACAAGATACCTCTAGCAGTTAATATTACTGTCCAAAGACTTGATATTGATGGTGCATTGGGTGTCTTGAGATGGGTTAAATCACTATTTGAATATATATTATTTATTTTTTATATAATATGAGCATAATTAGTTTATTTCTCGTGTTCTGAATTCAGTTACAATTGCTTCTGTATCTGCCAATTTAAATTTTGTTCCGGTCCTCAATGGAACAAATTTTAAGGACTGGAAAGAGAACATTGATATTATTCTTGGTTGCATGGATATGGATCTTGCGTTAAGAACTGAGCAACCTCCTACTCCTACAGATTCAAGTACCTCTGAACAGAAAAGAGATTATGAGAAGTGGGATCGCTCAAATCGTATGAGTCTAATGATCATTAAGCGCGGCATCCCAGAGGTGTTTAGGGGCACTGATTCTGAAAACATTACAAGTGCCAAAGAATTTCTTGCTGAAATTGAGCAGCGCTTTGCAAAAAGTGATAAGGCGGAGGCAAGCACTCTTCTTCAGAACTTGATCTCCATGAAATATCAAGGCAAAGGAAATATCAGGAAGTACATTATGAGCATGTCTAATATTTTTTTTAAACTCAAGGCACTAAAGCTTGAACTCTTAGAAGACTTGCTCATTCATTTGGTGTTGATTTCGCTTCCTGCAACGTTTAATCAATTTAAGGTATCTTACCTGTCAGAAGGATAAATGGTCTCTTAATGAGCTCATTTCACATTGCGTACAAGAAGAGGAAAGACTAAAGCAAGACAAGACAGAAAGTGCTCATTTTGCAAGCACCTCCAAGGCTAAGGGCAAAAGAAAGAGATCAGAGGATCTCGAGAAAGAAGCTGCTAAGGGTCCAGAATAAAAGAAACAAACTCAAGAAAACAAATGTTTCTTTTGCAATAAGACTGGACACGTAAAGAAGAAATGTGCTAAATATCATGTTTGACGTGAAAAGAAAGGGTTGTCTAAACTACCGGAAGCCAATTGATTCTGAAAGATGAATTTATGTTGGAGATGGCAAATCGGTAGAGGTGGAAGCTATAAGGCATTTTAAATTGTTATTGAG